GTGTGTGTGTGTGTGTGTGTGTTTTCAGTCTTGATTGGCTGGTTGGTTTGCTGAGGTGCTGCGGTGACGGTGCTGTTTGTGGTTTCTGGATGGTTTGTGGATAAAAGGCACCTAGTTCCTCCTCCTCCTTCGCTCATTTAAAAATCTCTCGTTCCTCCTCGCTCCCTCGCTCCCTCGCTCCCTCGCTCCGTCTCTCTGGTGCAGCGTCAGACACACAAGAAGACAAGTCGTCTGCCTGGAGTCCCACTTTTAGTTGGGATTCAAACTACGGTTCCCCCACAGTCCTCGTCCCGAGTGTGTAAAGACAGAAGAATGGTTGAAGGTGGAGGGGGGAGTTCAGTGGTGCTGTGTGCAGGTCCTGCTGCCCCCCCCCCCCAGATCATCTGCTCCTCCTTGGGCTGATAAACCATCAGAGCAGAGATGTGCCCGCCCTCTCTGGCCTCCGTAATGTTCTCCTCAGCCTATCGGAGTCCTCCTCAACAGCACAATTCCACTGTGCGTGTGTAGCGACACAAACTCCATGGAGGAAGAAGAAAAGGAAGAGGAGGAGGAGGTGCTAGAAGGAGGTGAATGTGGAATTTTCGTGTGCTTCCGCTTTAAGCTCCTCCTACAACACAGGCTCTTCTTCCATTGGCTCCTCCGTGGACCTGTGGGCGGTGCACAGTAAAACATTAAACACACACACACACACACTCGTCAACACGTGTTAGCATGCTATCAGTCCGCTGCTCACCTGCCGGTTTCCGAGTCGCCAGGAACGGAGCCTGGCTGCTCGACGTCGACACTCAGCGACGCCATGGCGCTGACTGTTTCTGCCTCGTCCTTCTCCGATTGGCCCTGAGCACCAAGGGGGCCGTCCAGTAGCGAGTGGCCACTGGTCTGAGACAAACTCTGAAGACAAGGCCAGTGTTTGTCTGGAGGGACGGAGACACAGGGACAGAGGATCAGGACGTTCAGTAGCTTCTCGTCATCGTGTGTATTTACTGAATCTTTGTGTGTGTGGGCGTCTTACTCTGGATTTCTATTACTCTCTCCAGCGAGGCGCAGGCTTTCGGACACGGCTTCTCCTGAGGCCACTGACACACAGACTCACACTGATGGAGACAGAGTTGTGTTAACTGAAGTGTGTGACATGAAACTTCATGGCACACACATTAAAAACACATCCCACAAACATGATTATCACAGGGGACGATGTTCACTCTCACAGGCTGTGGCTTCTTCTATGATCTGTGGTGGTTAAAGGAACATACGTAGATTTATTCCCTCTCTTGGAACGAGTCTCATGTCGGGGGGGCTCGGGTCAGAGCGCGGTTAGCTTAGTTTAGCATGAAAGTGCGTCTATTCAAGCTGTTGTGCTTATCATCAAAGAATTAAACAGGAACACTTATATCTATAACAACCAATAAATATCATGCATCATCACACAGGTACGTTCGGCATCAGTTCACACAAACACATCTCAGACGCTTCATCAGCTCGAACGCGACATCGAATCATCGTCTCGATCCTGAAGTCGTGAAAATCATCAATTCATTGTTAGAATTAGTTTGAATTTGTGGCTCGAGGGGAGTGGAGCCCTATCGCCCTCTACTGGCCAGCTGCAGCAGGCTGACCCTGAACCCAGCTCCTTCACTACATCAGCTTTCAAAGTTCAAAGTTCAAAGTTCAAAGTTTAAAGTTCTGCAGATGTACAGGACAAACCTGTGGTGTTAGTAAACACTGAATAAACAACAATAATAAAACAATAAACACTGAATTGTGGAACCGTGTGAAAAACTAGAACCAGCAGAGAAGAGGACGCGTATTCAAGCTGACAGTGAATGAAGTGAAGTAAAAATCTAAACCAGAACTAACATCAGAAACCTAACGAGGTAGTAAGACATGAGATAAATAAGAACAGATATGAATAAGTGACAGAACTTAAGGCACATACAGACACAGAGGTCTCTGGAGGTTCGGCAGAGCAAAACAGACGAGGTCATGAAAACGTGCAAAAGAGATAAAGAGCTGATTGGCTGGACAAAAAAGTGAAACCAGCGATATGTGCAAAGTTTTTGTGGAGTTTTAAACAAATTAGATGCAAATATTGGTCAAATCAGTGATGGTTACAGAGCCAGCTGCTTCTTTATCTTTATGCTAAGCTAATCACAACCTGTCAGTAAAGCACAGAAGAAAGTTAACAGTCAAACTGCTTCTCGTCAGAACATACGTGTCCTCAGTCCCTGGTCCCCACAGAGCGACGGACTGTGGCGACTGTTATTATTTCCATATGGTTTCCAATCATAATAACTGTGAATACCAACGGTCCTCTGACTCACCACATCTCCTAGAAGTGCAGAGACGCAGGCCTCGGATGCGTCACAGATGGCGGTGAGGTCATGACCACCCTCCAGCGCCATGACAACCCGCCCACCCGCCAGACCCATCAGCATCTGCGTTAGCCGACCGAAACCTGCCAACACGCAGCAGTCACGGTTCAGAGACACAAGTCACAACCTGAACCTTCTCGTCACTCAGGTAACAACCTGTCCGGTCACCATGGTTACCAGTGTGGTACTCACACTTGGCGGAAACATTGTAGCCTCCAAGAGGAGACTGATGACCCTCCACTGCATCGAAGCCTGCGGACACCAGGACCACATCTGGGCTGAACTGCTGGGCGATGGGCATCACCACAGTCCTACACACACACACACACACACACACACACACACTTATGTATGTTCATACACAAGAAACTTTTCTCTCAACTCTGAGCACGAGAGGAACAAGCAGGTTTACCTGAAGGCAGTCAGGTACTCCACATCACCCATAGGGGGCTCCACTCCTCC